TCCTTAGGAAATGACATATCCATAGTTCCATATTGGACTAGAACATAGTACTGTGGAAAAATTCTAAATTGATGTAGAGCAGACTAAAAAATGCTACCTGAGGTTATGATTCCATCCAGCCAATGCAGACCATTTCATTAGGAGCCAGGCCCTGGTTAGGCATTGTAGATACAAATATCTGTGAGTCAGAGTTTCTGGAGAAGCTTTACAGTGTCAAAGAAAAAGTTCCTCTAGTACCTTTTTTTATAATCCAAAGTGCTTTTAGTAGAGAAAAGTATAATGGGAAAAGAGTAAGAGAAGAGAGAGAGAGAAAACTAATTTGAATAGGATCTTGAGAGACAGGAATGCTTTTGTCATTGGAGTGTTCTCAGCTTATGAAAAATTGTAGGGGAATGCTTTTATTTAAGCTTTCTCTTCTTCATTTGATAATAGTCTACCAATGTTACCTTCTGTTTTTGGTAATTGTGCTATTGTTATATTAGATGTTAACATAGGGGAGACTGGGTGAGGGATACATGGAACTTTGTGCTCTTGATTTTTTGTTTTTTGTTTTGTTTTAAGAGAGACTTTTCTATAGGGCACATGTGCTCATTGGAGAGACAGAGATACAGAATGCGAGAAATCATCCCACCCTACCCCACCCCCGTACCCCCCAGGAATGGCCATGCTACAATTCCTTCTCCTCTACTCTTCACTCAAGATTTTGGGCATGCTTGCATGCACATGTCCCCAGTGTTTGTTGTAAGCTGCAACAGTCCCGGGGTCTGGGATTCAAACTCCGGTAAACTATATGGGAGTTCAGCGACATAACCGTTATGCCATTATGCCATCTGCTGGTTTCTGGTCTTGGTTTTTTTAAGAGTTAATAGTCACATAACATATAACTAACCTTTGTGCTTGTCATAGAACCTCTACATGTACAAGTTATACAATATACAATTCTGTGTCATTTAGTACATTAGCAGCCACTGATTTGCTTTCTGTCTGTGAATTTAGCAATTATGATCAATTTATGTGGGATGATATAGTATGTAACCTCATGTTATGTGTCTCCCTTCTTGTCCATACCATTATGTTTTTAAGGTTTACCATACTGTATCATGTATCAGTAATTCAGTCCATTTTATGGCTAAATAATATTCCATTTTATGGATATATGACACTTGGTCTGTTTATCTGTTGGAAGACATTTGAGTTATTTCCTCCCTTTGGCTATTGTGAATAGCACTGCTAAGAGCATTGGTGTACAAATATTTGTTTGCCTGTATATTTTTAATTCTTTTGGATATATACCTAGATGTAGAAACACAAAGTCATTCAGTAATTGTATGTTTAATTGTTGGACTATTTTCCACACAGGTGTACCATTTTACATTCTCACCAGCAATGTTTGAGAGTTTCTATTTTTTTTCCATATCTAATTCAACATTTGTTATTTTCTGTTTTTTGATGATTGCCACCCTGATGGTTATAAGATGGTTTCTCATTGTCTTCTTAATTTTCATTTCCTAATGACTCATTGTCAAGCATATTTTGATATGTCCGATTGCCATTTATACATCTTTGGAGAAATATTTAGTCCTCTGACCATTTTTTTATTTCCGTTTGTCATTGTTGTAAATGTTCTTCTAATGGGGACCAGCAGGTAGCATAATGATTAAGCAATGAACTCTCACATGGTCAACCACAGTTCAAGTCCTGGACTGGGCAGCTTGACACTCACATCAGGTCCATGTGTATATGTACCCAAAATCCCGAGAGGAAGATGGAGGAAAATGGACTGAGCATGGCCATCCCTCCTGGGGAGTGATTTCTCATTTTCTGTCTCTCTGTCTGTTCCTGTCTCTCTGAGGAGCACACATGACCTAATAGCAAAAATTTCTCAAAAAAAAACGAAAAAGAAAGAAAGAAAATTCTTCTATTGTAGATACTAGACTCTTATCAAGGATATGGTTGGCAAATATCTTCCTTTTGTGTAGGATATGCTTTTACTTAATCAATAATAGTTTTGATGCACAAATATTTTTAGTTGTGATTGGTCCAGTTCATCTTGTTTATTCTTTTGCTGCTTATTCTTTTGGTGTTATATCTCAGAATCCATCATTAGTCCAGCAGGCAATAGCATGCTGACCTGCAATGCTAGAAACCACATGACTAACCATGTTTTAGATCTCATTTACCTGGAACACACTAGCACGTGCACAGGTACTCAAGATCCTAATTGCCTCAGGGAAGGGAATTAAGTGTGACAAAATGCTATTAATGCTGCTTCCTCTCACCCCTGTTGCCTGTGAGCATAGACACTCTCTATCTTGAATAAGATAAAGAAACTAAGAAAAAAATCAATCGCCATATCCAAGGTCATGAAGATTTACTCCTATATTTTCTAAAAAGTTTTGTAGTTTAATGGCCTAACTGCAGTGGGGTAGGTCCTGCCGCTCAGTACTGGAGCCATATAGGAAGGCTTAGCGTTTGGTTCCCAGGTCAGTCTGAACAAGCTAGGTACATTTGCAGATGCTCCGCTTCTCCTGGGTAGCTGGAAGGTGGGAGGTATTCCACTCCCTGTAAAAGAAAGAAGAAAATAAACTTTAAAAAAAAGATTATGATTTTATTAGCTCTTCGATCCACTTTGAGGTGTTTGGGTTTTTTTGTTTTTTGGGGGGTTTTTTTTTTGCATGTGGCATGAGGCAGAGATGTAAATTTACTCTTATGATTCAGAACCTTGGAAATAATACTTTAAAATAATCACCATTCTTCATAGTCATAGAAAATCATCTATGAAGGGTAGCATGGCCGAGTGGTCTAAGGCGCTGGATTAAGAAAATCATCTATGATATTAACTTGTTTGTTTTCTTATTGTTCAAAAGAATCAAATATACAAATATAATGGCTAACACAATAAAACTCTTAGGAAAAAAGCAGGTAAATCTATGACTTTGCATTAGCCAAAGTAACCTTAGTTATGTACTTTAAGAACAAGCAACAAAAAGAGAAATGGATTAATTGGATCTCATCACAGTTAAAAACTTAAGTTTCAAAACTGCTATGAAAAAAGTGAAAATGCATCCCACAGACTGGGAGAAAATATTGTCAAATCATAACAGATAAAGGTGTAACATCCAGAATTTACAAAGAACATTTACAACTCACCAATAAGACAATAAATAAAATAATTTTTAAATGAGCAAAGCCTTTGAGTAGACAGTTCTTCAAATAAGATGGAAAAAGGCTGATATTCAACATCCTTAGCCATCAGGAAAATACAAATCAAACCACAGTGAGATACTGCATTATATCTTAATGGCTATAATAAAACAAATGGACAATAATAAGTGCTGACACAGGTATGGAAATATTGGACGACTCCTACATTGCTAATGGAAATGTTAAACTGGTAAATCCACTTTGGAAAACAATTTGACAGTTTCTCAAATAGTTAAACATATAATTAACTTTGACCCAAAAAGTCTATTTCTAGGAATAAACCCAAAGAATTGAACACACATATTCACATAAAAATGTGTATGTCGGGGGTCAGGTGGTGTTGAAGTGGTACAATGCAACACCTTCACAAGGGTGAACCACATGAGAAGGTTCTGAGTTTCCCTCCAGAGTCTTCTCTGAGTACATTGTGCATACCCAGTACATATCATCAGGGGCTCGCTGAGGCTAGGAATGGATTGTGGCATCCAGATCTTGTTGAGTGTGCACTTTCTCTCTCTGTCTCGTTGCTGGAAGTAATAAATAAGCTGAAAAAAACCACTTGTGTGCCACCTGTTGGCATGCTGGTTGGGATGGTGGCTGTATCCCGAGTGACTGACTACATTTTGAGCCCCAGACTCCTTAGATGACACCCGGTGCATGTGCACTTGTGCCCCAGAGGAGGATGAAGGAAAAGAGACTGTGGCATAGCCATCCCTCCTGCTGTGGGGGGTGATATCTCTCTCTCCCTCCAACTCCCCAGTAAGTGCATGTGTGCATGTGCCTTAGAGCAAATTAAAAAAACAAAACAAACAAAAAAAAAACCTTGTGTATGAATGTTCATAGCATCCAAAAAGTGGAAACAAACATAATGCCCACAAACAGAAGAATGGGTTAAGGAACTAGATTCCCACATGACTGATTGTGGTCCGAGTCCTGGATCTGATGACTTGAAAATTACATTGGGCACATGTGCATGTGTGCCCAGAATTCTAAACGGAGAATGACAGAGAAGGGATTGCAGCATGGCCATCTACCCTGGGGCATGATTTCTCACTTTCCCTCTTTTTGTCTCTGTCTCTCTCTTTCTCTTTGGCAAAAATATTAATCCTATGGCAAAAACCTTTAAAAAAAATGGATTGAAGTATTGATAACATGTTTAAACTGGGATAAACTTGAAAGCATTAGCTAAGTAAAGGAAACCAGACACAACAGGCTTCATGGTAAATGATTCCTTTTATATGAAATGACCAGAATAAGAAAATGTGTAGAGACAGAAAACAGATTAATTTTTTGCCAAGGGCTACCCAGAGGGGAAATTAAGAGTGACTGGTATAGAGTTCCTTTTTGGGGTGATGAAAATGTGTTGGAGTTCAAAAGTGGTGCTAGTTACACACTGTGAACATCCTAGCGTAATGGCTATGTCATTGGGCTCCCATGTAGTCGACTGTGGTTCGCGTCCCGGATCTGGTGGCTTAAAACTCGGCACGGGGCGCATGTGCGTGCATGCCCAAGATCCCAAGAGGAGAACGGAGGAGAAGGGATTGCGGCGTGGCCATCCCCCCCGGGGGGTGATTTCTCGCTTTCTATCTCTTTGTCTCTGTCTGTCTGGCGAGCACATACACCCTATAGCAAAAACCTCTCCAAAAAAAAAAAAGAATGACTTTTATGGTGTGTGAAATATATGTCAATAGAAATAAGTGAATTTTAAAATGTTTTGTGTTCAGAGATTTTTCTCTTTTAAAGCAATGATTATTTCATGTTTACTTCAAGAAAATCATTTCTATTTTATTTTTTAGGAATCTGTCCTGGCATCCTGCATTGAACACTAGAGAGAAAATGCGAATTCCACATTCCCACGCATTTATTGATTTGACTAAAGATTTTACAGCGGGTAAGTTGCACATAAATGTAAAAGAATTTGTTTTGAACTACAAAAGAATTGTGAGATTTTTATTTACTCTTTACTTACTATTTATTTGCTAATGAACTGAATGTTAAAACTAAATAATGAAAAGTTTGTAAGAAAGTTAATGATGTTAGAAGCATGGAAAAAAGTACAGAGTATAATTTGGAAGCAGGAAGCTGGTGCAGCAGGAAGTGAGGCACTCTGTGGGGCTGATCTATGTGGGAAGGTTCTTGGTTTGCATCTGAAGACCTCTCTAACTAAACAGGGCTGTCCATGCTGGATTCAGGACCGGCTGAGGTTGAGTGAATCACAGCCTTAACACCCTGTTGGAGGTGCTTTCTCCCTCTGTCAACCTCCTTCCTTGTTTTCACTTTCTTCTTCTGTCTCTCTCTCTCATGGAAGAAATAAACATTTTTTAAAAAGAAAAGTAGTAAATATAGTAAATCTTCAGTTTTGTTGGTTTTGTTGCTTGTTAACCACCTCAGAAATTTATTTCTTCACTTTTTATGAATTAATGATAATTTAGACATATGTATCCTAATGTTCCCCCCTTTTATTTCCCCCTCCTTGATCCCCTACCTCTCACTTTCTACACTTCTCCTCCTCCTCCCACACTGTCTCTGGTATATACAGTTGTTTTCCATTCCTTTTTTTTTTTTCACGTTTTATTGATTCACTAAAGATCTTAAAGACTTTGAATAGCAAGCACAGCTGATATATACATATTTATGAACTCATGTCTGACTTTAGGCATAAACCTCAGTGAGTGAAGTGAACATTCTATAAAGTAGCACCTCACTGGGGCTTTATAGTTTACTGCAGTCCTTAAATAGGTAATAAAAGGTATTTTTTAATACATTTTTTCATTTCAAAAAAATTTTTAGTTTTAATAGATCAAAATAAAAAAAATGTTAAGAGAAATTTGTTTACAACTTATAGCTAGGAAAAAGGTTAGGATTCAGTTCAAACAGTAGGTAGATGTACTACCAACTGTTTGAGAGAAGACAAAAATTCTTAAATAATGGAAATTAAAGCATCAGAGAAAATCAGTAATATTTTAGTCTAAAGTAAAAAATTCTACTTCACTAGTTAAGACTCATGTAATTAATCGCTCTTCTATTGAATTTGCAGGGTTACTGTGGTCTGATCTTTCCATTTAAACTCTGGAAGTTAACATTCAACCCTGGACTTGTCCCTACTATTAGGCTAGCTAGTCTCTTTTTTTTGTTCTCTTTTTTTTTTTTTTTTTTTCCTTTTTTTCTTGGAGAGGTTTTTATTTGCTATAGGATGCATGTACTCACCAGAAAAACAGAAACAGAGAAACAGAAAGGGAGAAATCACCTCCCGAGGGGGGGATGGCCACACCGCAGTCCCTTCTCTTCCATTCTCCTCTCAGGATCTTGGGCACGCACACACACATGCCTGGCATGAGTTTAAGCTACTAGATCCAGGACTCAAACTGCAGTTGACTACATGAGAGTCCAGAGACACAGCCATTACACCAACTGCTGGTCCTAGTTTCTTGTACTCTTATTTCTATGTGTTGGACTTTAGTTTTCCTGGCACTCCCTTCAACACTTCTTGGAGAGCTGATCTGGTGTTGGTAAATTCTTTCACGTTTTGTTTACCTGAGAATGTTTTTGTCTTTTTTTCCCAGATGAAAGATAATCTTGCTGGGTAGAGTATTCTTGGTTGAAATTGTTTTTCACTCAACACTTTGAATATATTTTCCCATTCTTTCCTTGCTTACATTGTTTCCAATTGAGAGGTCCGATGTTAGCCTTATGGAATATCATTTGATAACTTGACATTTTTCTCTTGCCAATTTTAGTGTCTTGTCTCTGTCTGTGATGTGCCTTGGGGAAGATCTTCTTGGGTCAGTTCTACGTGGGGTCCTTTGTAGTTCTTGGGTCTGGATATTTGAGTGCCTCTCTAGATTTGGAAAATTTTCCAGGATTTCATGGGATAGATTATCAATAACCTCACTAGTTTCTTCACCTTCTAGGATACCAATAATCTGGATGTTTGGACATTTAATTTAATCTAGCATTACTTGTATGTTATTCTCATATGGGGGGGGTTCTCTGTCTTTTTAGTGAATTTTTCTAGGTCAGAGGTTCTGTCTTCTACATCTAAGATTGGATCTTCTGCCTGATCTAATCTGGTTTTGATATTTTTCAAGGAAGTTTTGATTTCCTGCATTACAGCCTTGATCTGTAGCAATTCCATTTGATTCTTTTTTATGATATGTATCTCCTCTTTCAGATCATGCAAGAACTTCCTCACATCCTGAAACTTGGTATCTCTTTTCTCTTGCATCTTCTGGAGTTCTTTTTTTCTATTCTCTTGCATCTCTGTTAGCTTTGTCACTATTAATATTTTTAATTCTTTATCTGACATTTTCATGAGTTCCCTTGTATTCTCTGTGAGGAAGAGGAGTTCTTCTTTGCCATTAGAAGAAAGATATTTTCTTGGCTTCTCATATTTCTGTACCTCTGCAATGGTTTCTGGTCATCTGATGTATTATACATTTTTTCCTAACTCCTGGGTCGACTGTGCAGCAGGAGGGTGAAGTCTGGACAGAGGGTCTTCGGTGATCAAAATCCCTAAATGGGGCCACTCAGAACTCAAATATAGATAGCTGCTGATTGGCTTATCCTTACTCCTGACTAGACTGGGGAGCAAGAGGGTGAAGTCTGGGTAGAGGGTCTTCGGTAGTCAAAATCCCTAAATGGGGCTACTCGGAACTCAAAGATAGACAGCTGCTGATTGGCTTATCAGCCAATCACCCTCCTGGCGGAAAAGCAGAAGGGTGAAGTCTGGGTATAGGGTCTTCGGTTGTCGAAATCCCTGATGTTTCCCTTTTTATTTAAAAATTTCTGACTAATTAATGCTATAAATCTAATGACAAGTAAAATATTTAGCTTATGTACAAAAAAATCCAAAGACTTTTTAAAACTTTGTTATAGGAATTTTTTAAATTAGTTATTTAACTTTTTATTTATTCATTCATTTATTTTTAATTTCACCACAGAAAGAAATAGAGGGAAAGTGAGAAAGCAAGCCACCAGGCCTGGGACTTGAACCATGGTCGGCCATGTGGGAGTGTCCAGTGCCTTAATCACCACACCATACCACCTGCTGGCTCCCTTTAAAAAAAAAAAAAAAAAAAAGAATTATTTATTTAATTATTTATTTATTCATTTATGTTATAGAAAATTTTTAAAGAATTCTTGAGTGTTCTTACACAATGAGCAAATTAAGAAAGTAGACAGAATAGTATAATGTATGTACTGTGATCCTCACCTAGCTTCAACAGTTATCACATGACCAGCTTCTTTCATCTGTATACCCATCTGGAAGTCTTTCCTACGCCGATAATTTTAACAAATATTAAATATTTAATTTCATTTCTAGATACTTCAGTCCATATCTCTAAAGTGATACTTTCTTTTTGTAATCACTAGATGACTATTTTGAAACTTAAAATAATTTAACAATAATTTCTTAATATCATCAACATCTAGTCATTATTCAAAATGCCCAGTATTTTTCTAATTTTTTTAAAATCAAATTAGGAACTAAGCAAGGTCTATATAGACACAGAGAAGACATTATTTATGTTGTAGAATTTCTCAGGCTGGATTTTCCTGATTATATCTCCATTGGTTAATGTGTTGCTCAGTTTTTATATTTACTCTAACACAGTAGTCAGATCTGTAGTCTTGATTAGAATCAGACTTCCTTTTTAGGGGAGGTAGCGGTTGTAGAGTGTATTTCCTAGGTCTTGCTGTGTATTTCAACTCATTAGGAAAAACATGATTTAAGTTTTTTTTCTCTTTTTATAATGTTAATTGATCAGTAGCTTTGCTTTTCCTTGGCAAGGACCATTCATTATAATGCTCTCTAATGATTTTAACAACTATGATGATCATTGTCAAGTCTGTTATTTCAATAAGAGTTGCAAAATTGTGGCACATCTATCACTCTTTTCCTTGTATTATTAATTGGAATTTTCTAAAAAACAGTTCCCATCATTGTCTCATTACCTGAAGTACAATTGATATAGTCAAGATGAATATTTAAATTTCTCCCCTCACTTCCCCCAATTTTTCACTAGTTTTCAAACACTTATCATACCATTTTTCAATGATGTTTTTATGCAGTGTACGAATTACAAATGTATAAAGCAAGCAGGTGGCTGCTAAAAGTCCTATGAGTTTCTTTTAAAAGTATTTCATGATTAAACACCTATATTTTATTTGAGTAGCAAATAATGTTGTATAATATACGCCTCTTATTAATTCTCTATTGATTATAAGTTTTAGTAGAGCATTTTCATTATTAAAATACAGTTCGCAAAGTTAAGAAAATTTTAGTATCCAAATATACTATGGGTTTTACTGATTTAAAACAAACAAAACCACAAATTTAATCTAGGTATCCATAAGTTTTTTATGATTCCAGATTTTTAGGTTCTTGATCATGTGTTTAGGTTGGAAAGAGAAGTGAGATTTTTAGGGAACAAGAGTTATTTTTAATGTGGCTAATCTGTCTGGTATGCTGAATCATGCTACAATAATAAAGTTTGAATACACTGCCATAGTTAAAGTTTTGTTTTTCAAGATAAGGAAATCTGTATTTATAGGCTCATTTTCTATTATTTCATTAAGGTTATACACACACACACACACAAATATACACACACACTTATAACCATCTTTTTTACAATGATTCCTTTTTTAGGAAACATCTGTCTTATGAGGTTTTAAAACTTAATAACTGTTAGGTCAGTAGCATAAGACTTTAAATTAATGTCAATTTCACATTTAAGTAATTTTTAAAGAATTCTTGGGTGTTCTTACACAATCAGCCAATCTACCTTATAAAATTTGTGTTAAAACAAATCTGAACCATTTGTAATTTTGAGCTAAACAATATTATATAAAACGTAAAAAAATTCTCTTTGATGAGTGATCTTTTGG